AATAAAACGTATTTAGCCAGACGCAATTAATGGTTTTAATTGGAGAAAAACTAACACGGAAGCGGAAATCCATTTGTACCTTTTCAAGGGCTTAAATTGTTATTTTAAATGGAAAGGCAATGAATAGAATTTATTGGCTAAGCTTCAAATAAATTTGTTAAAAAAAATAAATGACTGAGAAAATAAATAACCATAAATATTTTTAATTAAAGACCAAAAAACGAAATATGGATATTCAGCTAATTCTTTTTGCAGAAATCCAATTAAACAACAACATTGTCTGCCTTATATCCTTAAATCCAACATAATCCTTTTACAAATTGAATGTTTGACGCCAACCAATTGACACACTAACTGAAACATTCTCACTAAGTTCGAAGAAAGTTTCTTGGAATTTCTTCCTATAAAACGAAGAAACTAAAACTCTTCTTTTTGTCATTCAACATTTATCGAGAAGTGCTCACTACTGTTTGCTTTGCCCCAAAGAGGTGGTCATTAAATATTTTATTATTACATTTTCTAATAGTTGGTTAGGAAAGAAAAGGAAAAGGAAATACGCCACGAAATGTCGCAATTCGAGTCGAGGGTTGTAAAATTTAATTTATCAAACTTCTGCTACGGTGCACCCGCAACAGAAAGAGACAGAAGAGGACCAAGTGAGCGAGAGGGGGAGACGGCTAGAAAGAGACAGCGCACGGAAACCGGAAGGCGGATGGTTGGAGAAAATGTTGTGCCTGCACTTCCGCTTATAGTCGCATTTGTGGATTATGCGGTTCGTAGCGGGATTCCAGCTCCGTGTCGAGTGTGTGTTATTTATAATGCGACGGGGCCAACTGAACATCACGAGTCTATTAGCCTTCGCAATTTACGAGCTGCCACCATTTTAGGGTCTATCTCCGTTGAGTTTTATGTGCACCGCACTCTGATGGAGCTGCTGCATAAAATGCATTCATTCAGACGGAAGAGAGGCTTTGAATTTTATTTGGACAACACCAGATATGCTAATCTTGGCAAATGGAAATTCCAAAATCCTACAGAGCATGACAAACTAATTCTGATTTATATTCTAGGAAAATGTGTTGTTTATATTGAGTTAATGTACAATAACATTGAGAGGTCAAGAGACTTTACTGATAAATATTAAATGTTTATGCTTAAATTTATTAGCAAACAAAAGGATTTAAATTTTGAATATGATTTTTAATAAAAAACATTATATACACTCTGCATTATTTTAATGAAATAATGAATAATTTTATCTTTACATAGAATATTTTTTAAATTATATTTGAACACTGATGGCTTCTTAATTTTCAACTGATTAGAAATAACGAATTACGATTAATACAAATAGTAATAATCTATGAAAGGAAATCAGAAAATACTAAGCAATTTTTACATTAAGATTGCGCACTAATTAAAGCCAAGCCGAAAGGTTTTCCATTCACCCAACCATCAGCTCGTATCCATCCATTCATCTTCACCCCGCAGAGCCTCTAGTGCACGCCAATTTTCAATACAGAAAATCGAACTTTTGAAGTGGACGCCACGCCTCCCATTGCGTTACTTTCGCCGAGGGGCGCTATTCAAGGGGCGTGTGCGTGGGCGTAGGGGGGCATAAATGGTCTGGAGAGTGGGGATAGGGATCTGCAGACGGCACTTGGCGTGCATTTCTATTTTGCTTGGCCGAAAAACTCTTGAAACTATTATCGATGAGGCGCCCGTTTCGTAGGGAGGTTATTCCCAAGTGGACGAGGGCGTCACTGAAACCGTCAGTATGACTGACAAAGAAAAAATGCACCTAAAAAAAATAATTGTCAAACTAACGACATCTATTAAAATATGTTGTAAAGCAAAAAATAAGAAATCAAAAGAAAATTCCTAACTAACTATTTAATATCTTGTTTTTTTAAAAACCTAAAAGAGAGATTGGGTATTTTGTTTTATTCTTTTTTTTTACTTTTAAGGATTCTTAGTCAATTGGTCATTATAGTCAATTTATTACTTAGTGATGGTTAAATATTACAAATTCAAAAGAAATATAATGAAAATTGTGCCCATATATCAGGGCAATCAGATCTATGCCCAATTTTAAGGTAATTTGTTCATTAACACCAAATTGTATTTAATTGTGATGAAGAATACAATTCTTTTAAATTCACGGCTTCAAAGGAAAATCGAAAGCATTACGCAAAACGGTACTATATTTTAAAAAATTTTAAAAATTGAGAAATAAAAATGTAAAAAATCGTCGACAATTATCTTAATTAAGAACATATTTTCCTGAGTGTGGAAGCCATTGAGAGCTCGAGCGATGGCGATGCCAACGAACGCGTTCGGTGCGTGTTAAAGCACACAGGGAATATAAAAAGGGAAAATATGAAAATATCCCTTCAAGTTAACGGCATGGAAAGCGAAGGGCGGCTGCCTGCCCAGCACTTTACCACTTTTTATGCCTGGCGATAAATTAAAATTTTTATTAACATACTTTCTCCGGCGAGAAAATAGTGGGCGGAAGAAACGGCAAGAACAGGAGTCGCGGACCAAAAACGTCAACTTGTCCGGCACTCGTCGGCGATTCGTTGTAAGGGGCGTGGAAAAGTAAAGGGCTCTTTATGACTTTTGCAAACGCACGCTGAAACTGACCAGTCCACCGCCCCTGTCTATGTTTTTGCAGACCCCATTCAAACTACCAGCCGAGCTGGAGGAGCCCTTGCAATTATAATTTGTTGATGCAGGAGGAACCGGAGGAACCCCAGGAAATGCAGTTTTTCATCTTGTTCACTCTGGGCAATGACAGCGGTGGGTGGAAAATCGGGAAGGCTAGCTGGAGTCGGATTCTGCAGACGGCCGCATTATCTATGCATTATTGTGGCTCGGCCATTGGCCATCTGCCGCCCGCCGTCTCAGCAGAATATAATATTCTATTAAATTATGTATACGTTTTTGTACGAGGATTTTGTAAAGTGAAAACTTCAGTTGTCGTGCCTAAGAACTGCACTAGCATTATACAACAGGGATAGGATTTGATTAACACATGATTTATATATTGAATTCTGTTAGAATCAAATTATCAAACAGAATTCATTAAGTAATTATGATAAAAATTTGAAATTTCGTTTTGAAAAAAAATAATAAAAGCACTGCCCCAACATTTTAAATTTCAATTTATAAATAAATCTCCCCACCGACATGTTACCTCAACGCAGTTGCATCTAAAATGCCTTTAAACATTATTTATGTATTGCACAGATCAAACAATAAATCAAATATAAAACAAATACGTTGTGCCGTAATTAATTTTTCTCAATTTTGATTCATTATTAAAGCAGCATGCATAATTTGGATCTCGTGCTTAGACGTGGACAATGGACACAAATGCGAAATGCAAAGCCCACATTAAGACCCCCACCTAAAGGACCTCGGCTGGATATCCTTCGAATGGCACGTAGGCAAATAAACCTCCATGTTTTTCCCTTTTCCCCGCTTGTGCCCAATGCGTTGGAATGCAAATATTTTCCACTATAATTGAAGCGCGACAAATGCGAATTGTGAGCGAATGTGATTGCGTTGGTTCAGGTAATTTTCGATGGGTTGTGGAGGGGGTTATTTCAAAAGAGGTAAAACAACACGTATTTAATGCAAATGCATTTCAATCATCCAATTTGGCATGCAAACAAAAATGATTTGCATTGCGGAAAGGGAAGTAAGGACATTATAATACACGAAATGGTTTTTAAATTGATAACAAAAAATTCCAGTCCCAGACATAATTGCAGTTGAGTTTAAAGAATTAATTCATGCAAGTAAAATAATTACAGCCCAGTAAATTGCAATGGCGGATACGATGAGGGAAATCGAACAATTGTCGCACATTAACCACAGATGCGTTCGGATGGTCAAGGATGAGCAGGAATAATAATAAGCGTGGACGGATGGGTGGTGCATGTTCATCGAATCCCGGATGAATGACGATTTCGGTTCAATTGTTTCACATTGAGCCACCGCGATATTAAGCGAGACAATGGAAGTCTACGGTTTAATACTTCCTCGGTTATATTCTTTTTAAAGGATGAAAGGTTATTTCAACAGAGAAAATACAGTGCTTACAACCCAGTAAAGTGTATATTTTGTGAGGCAACAACCGAATTGTTAATTTAATTTGCCCGTCCTGACCGCATTTGCATCACATTAATTTGATTTTCGTTCAATAGAAAAATGACTTTGAGTCATTATCTACCAATATGTATCACATTAACTAGGAAGGCATGACGAAGCAAATTTAATCACCCAAATATAGAGTTCATTCTACTTATTAAATGGGGTTTCTTAAAAGTAGGAAATAAAATCAAAAACTCCATTAAGTCCAGAGATCCAGAGATGTTATTATGGCGCCAAATTAAGAAACCGATAACATCATGGAATTTTGATGGTCATAGCATTTCTTGGGAATTCACGACGTAATGGAAGAGAATTTAATGCTCGTTACACAAACCCGACCAAGTGGAAAACAGCCACAAAAAAATGTTGTTATTGTCGATATTGAAATTTTATGGTATAGTTCAGTGAGAAGACGAGTCCGTGGAAATAATGTGGTAAAAATACTATTAATGAGAATTTCCTTTATGTTGTGCAAAAGAACTAAAAGCTTATATTGTTATAAAATCATAAATTTAAAAGAACAATATCACGTTCAGCATTTAATTTTAAATATCTTACTTTATTATTCAGCTTTAAAAGATATTTTCCCCAGTTTTTTTAATATTGAAAGCAAAGTACCACAGTGTTTCCAGAAATTACGACCCCAAAGAGCTTTTGTTTTTACATTTTAAGACCTTGAATGATCAGAAGCTTGAACTTAATGATCCCGACAGTTTCGCACCAAATATTGCCAAACATTTGACAGCCCCAAGCAGTTTTCTCAGAATTCCCTTGTTGGCATCGAGCTCTGCCTTTTATTGCCCGCAATTCTATTGTCTTTTATGTCAACGTCAACTCACCAGACACAAGAGTTGATGAATTTTGTCGCTTCGCAGGAAGGGCGACTTCAGGAAGCACTCACACACACTCGCACTCTCGCAGAAACCGAGCCTGACTGTGTTGGTGTATTGCCTGTTGGTGGAAGTATTGGTGTGTTTATTTCGAAGCGCGCCAAAAAGTATGCAATACAATGTGTTGCGGGTCTGCGATTCGGTTTCCGACTGACGATATAGCTGATGGGCGAATGGTAGCTGGTGGCTGATGGTTGATGGTTGGTAATGTGATTAGTTGGCCCGTCTATCGATGTGCTACTGTGTGGTAGTAAATTTTAATTTAATTATGTCGCTCTCGTTTCAATTACGAGAACCGCTCGCAGCGAAGACACGCACTAATAAACAAAGGCCAACAATAACAGAACGGAAAAATAAGCGACGGCTGCCGAAGGAAAACTGAAGGAAAATGTTTCGAATGAGTGGGACCAACCAACAGCGAATGTGCTCTGCCTCTCCCTCTCCGCTCACTCTCGGGCTCGACTCTCGGGCTTTTCCGCTGCGCTCTCGGGCTTTTCCGCTGATGAAAATGCTGGCAATCGAATGCAACTGCCTCCCACAAGCGACTGAAATGCGTTGCATACGCCAAGGCGCACGTTGAGTTGCCACGGAACGAGTGGAAGTGAAATTTGAGTGCGTTTTGAGTGAGTTTACAATGTGGTGCAGCTATCGAGTGCCCCGGAACGAGTGGCATTCCGCAACACCTGTGCAATTGCTGGGGGTGGATGGGCGGATGAGCCCTATTATTCCACTATTCTTTCTTTATCGCCACCGAAACGGGCAGTCGAAATTTTAATTGGGTTTGTCCAACTTACGGCACACAATTCAATTGAACCGCTCCCCGCTTGCAGCTCATTAAGTTGGAGGGTTGGAAATTATATCGAAAGGCCATAAACCTCTAATGAATGCCTTGGTAGTTGCAGAGGACCGTTGAGACTGTCTGGCCCCATGTCCTTTTGGATATCAGTTCTGTTGACCCCTTTCGTACTGGTAAAGCCCACATAGCCCGAAGTTTTTAGAAAACATATCAATAAAAACCAACAGTAAATATGAAGTTGTAAATTAAATGTTAACTTATACATTTTCCCAAAAAAAAACATGGATTTATTTAACTACTTTAATATATTCAAAATTCATAGGGGTCAGAAAATTATCTTTTAACCAAATTAGGCTTGTAATTTAATGTGCAAAAAGCGTACTTATATTTGTTGAGATCATTCTAAAAAAATATAATCAAACAAAATAATACAAGTACAAATAATACAACACGAATAAAACAAATTTTGTTGGGCTGTTTTTTTTTTTAATGTTGTTTTAAACTAATATGAATCATAATATAATTATATTGAAAATATAAGAATATATATTGGAGCCTATTCTTATAAATGTTTGTTTTAAGTATTGAATTGAATTATGTAATTATAAATATTTCAATCCCTATTTTTATAAATGTATGTCTCAATATTTAAGTACTTTATTTAAATAGACTAAGCAGTAATTAATTTGACCATTTTGTGAAACAAAATTATAGTTTATATCCCTCTGGGCCAGTCATTATAAGTAGTTACTAGTCCTTGCAGGGCACCAGCACCACCAGCAGATGACACAAAGACACTTTTACCTGCGGCGCTTTGTGAAATGGATCCCTCGCCAGCATTACCTGAAAACGCTCCCGAAAGATGACATTCTCCGTCCGTCTGCTGCCATCCGGCGAGTGGGATAGTGACGCAGTTTATGCTCTACGGACGCGTTTATCCGGGAATACTCCTCGTCCACGGACTCCGGCGCTGACTTCTCCGCCGTGATCAGGTGTTTCCATTTACATCGGGACAATAAAGGCAACGCACACTCTGCAATATGCAACAGTTGCAGACACGCAGGAAAAGCTTGAGAAATGGTGGAAATGAGGGTGGGGCGGTGCAGTGGGCGGTGTGCCGTGTGCTGTGTGCTGTGTGCTGTGCAACGCACATTTGTAAGTAGTTGTGTAATCTATCCGTGAACGTCGCTTCCGTTTTGCATTTTATATGCTTAACGCATCGTTTGGCCGGCGCAAATTGAGTTTCAGTGTCGTTGCCGTTGAAATATCTTCTCTCCAATGGACAGTTGGATGGATGGATAACCGGATAGCTGGATGCCAGGATGAATGGCTTGGATATATCCTTTTGGCGCGTGTTATTGGTGCTGCCATCGATTTTGAAAGCCGTTCGACAGCATCAGCCTTCAATCCTTTATCGCTTATCCACTTTTGTGGCTTTAAGCGAGCACGAGCTACGAGCCAATTAAAACTTTTACCCAATCAACTTAATTAAGAAAATTCTCAAATTATGCGATTGTCATAAAACGGCAGACAGTTAAGCTGAGACCAAAAATCTTGCGGAACTTAATCTCGAAGTCGAAGACATTCATAATGTGTGCTAAATACTTGTGATTTTGCTGCAGTCATCGCCGACAATTCCTACAGATCTTAAATTAACTAGGAAATTGGGAATTTAAGTATTTAAGAGGACTTCTCAATTATTAGTAGCTGTTTAAAGTTAGATGTAGTTGCGTACAAAAGTTTACTATTTCAGGCTTTGATTTAACATTAACAATAATAAATTTAAATCATGTTTACAAAACACAGTGCCTAATAACCGCATTTCTTGAACTAGAAGAAAGTTTTCAAAGCCCATCTCAAGAAAATCTATATAAAAATGTTGCGAACCACTGGTTTAAAATCAAACAATACAAAATAGATTTGTTATATGATATTATTTATTCGGGAACGTAAACAGGACAAATAGGATATTAAAATAAGGATTCAGCTCAGAATTTTTTCTGGGTGTTTCGAGGGTTGAGGAGGCAAACTATAAAGTGCAGAGCCAACGGTGCGTGTTTTTTTTCAAATGCCTCCCCCAGGATGTGTCCACGTTCCGTGCAGAAGCGAAGGCGCAAAAGCCACGCCCCCTCAATCACCACCGCCTCCATGGAAGCCACCCAAATGCTGACAAAAATGCTTTTGATTTGTGTGCCATTCACACACGCATTGCCACCCACGCTTATTAGAATCTTGCCATTGTGTGCGGGCCAAAGTGCAACTAGCAGAGACAGATAGCAAACAATGTGGTGCGGAACACAATTTACGGCCGGGAAAGGGGGCTTTCGCAACGGGCTAATAGGATTGCGGCTGTAATTTTTGGGGCATTGGATTACGGCCGACTTCACTTGTTTTCAGAAAGATTGAATCAGAAAGTTTGAGTATCAGAAACTTTAAAAGCTAAAGGTCACTCCATGTGAATCGTGCCACCCAATTTTTTTTTAATTAAAAACAAAAGTTTATTTCTGCAGAGGAGCCGAATACATCAACCCATATCCGTAATTTTTTTTTAAATTTTACTCCGTTTATTAAAACACCTCTAAATTAAACCAGCAAGAACGCTATAGTCAGGTTCCCCGACTATTAGATACCCATTACTCAGCTTACAAATTTCAAACCAAATATTTCCCCACAAAACAATCGCAGTATAGATGGCGCCATCTGTCGAACTGCAATTTTTTTGCGGCGACATCTATAATAGCCTGATTCCATTGCCGCACTTTTTAAATGTTCCTGATTCCATTGGCGCATTAGCATTTAGCTCCTTGAAAAAATGTTGGTTTGCGGTGAACATTATAACTCGTGACCGGATTATCGAAAAAAAAATGTGTAAGCATTTTAAAGTGGTAGTCACGAAAAGTTTTTTTTTCTTCTATATTTTTGAGCACTTTAAAGTGAACAACGCAATTCAAGCTAAAAAAAGCGAATAATTTATTATTAAAAAAATATATACTAAAAATAAGACTTTTCGTGATTACCTGCTGTTTTTAATGAAGAAGTAATGTTTAAATTTTCAAAGGGATCGTTTATTCATACGTGAACAATCTGGTAGCACGGCCAGGCGTTTAAAAAGCTGTAACTCCGATAGTTTTTCACAGATGGACTAGAAATTGGTACAGATTGTTCTCAACATACTGTTGATTCAGAAAATTAAAAAGTTTAAAACCCTTCCATCCTTAAGTAAGACTAAACAGTCATTAAATTATTCTTGGCAGCTATTCAAGCGTTGCCAGGTAGTTTTTAATCAGTCATTGAAGAGCGTTGCCAGAGCCTCGTATGCAATCGATAACTATGGGTAAGTGCCGAACAAAAGCAATATTTCTGCTAATGTTTTTTTGCAGAAACCATCAATGTTCCATAAATTTTGTAAACAAATTATATAATCATGGGTATATCTTTTCGTGTAAGGTGCGATACTAGTTAGAGATGGATACACATCGATTGTCCCTACCGATCATCGATAAGACCGAAAACATCGATAGCAAAGATGTTGGCATCTCAGTTCACCCATCGCTAGCACCAATGACGCTTGAATTTAAGCGGACAAAATCGAAAAAACACTAAAAACGCAGACGCTGGCTAGAAAAGTATTAAAATCCACCCAAGATCAGACAGTTTTAACCTTAAACCGGAAAGTGCTCGAGAGCAGAGTCCGCCGCCAAGATGCCGCGCACCAAGATACCAAAGAACTCGAAGCGCAATCGCGATGTGGCGAATCGCGAGGAGAAGTTGCGTTTGTACGAGCTCAAAATGGATTCCCGCCTGATCAGCATCGATTCGCTGGAGACCAAGTTCCTGTCCGCCGTCGACCACCAGGTGAAAACGCTTCTGGGCCAGGTCCAAAAGGAGCTGGCCAACTTGAAGATGCCCGAGGTGTTGAGGCTCTTCGGCGAACTTGACCGCTTCAGCGACTTTAAGGCCAGCGACCAGACGCAGCTGCTCGCCTCGATGTCCATGAGCGGCAACGCCACCGACGGCCACGCCCCCACGGCCACCGGGAGTCGCAATGACGAAGGTATGTCCGCCCTTTTTGAGGCGCCTTATGTACAGTGGGTAAAAAGGTGTACGAACATTAAGTACAAAGTGTTATTTTAACTTTTTTTTGCCTACTGTATATACATATGTATGGTTTATTGCCAAATTTTATCTGAATTGTTTCCATTTTGTTAAGGTTATTATGGCTTATCATCACTGTCTTTAGAGTTCTATTACTGAATACCAAAATCTTTAAGCAGAGGTCCTTAAAGTCTGGGCAATATCTTAGAAACTCCAGATCCTTTACTTGAAGATCTATGTTTAGTCCTAGCACTATTTTGCAGAACGCATTTGATCTGCCGTAAATCACGTTAAAGTTTTCGGTTTATTACTCAATTTTAAAAGAAAAATTCATATTTTTGGACTTTGTTTTAATTAAATGAGATCTCTCTCCCTTGCATAGGGTTTATTTAACAATTTTGTCCGAAAATATATACATTTAGGGTCGCACTCTTAAAAACCTTTGTTATAAGCAAAATTGAAAAGAAGTATGTCAAAGAGAGTTTCGAAATACTAAAACAGTTATCAACAAATTTCGTTTCACCTCCCTATTTTAATCAAAAAAGAATACAAAAATATTAATTGAAAAGATATAGTGTTTTTCTTACCATTGCCTTTCAATACAAAAAACAAAACCAAAAAAACTCGTTTGATTATACATATAATTTATTTTCTACTATGGCTTATCTTAAAATCATGATGTACTTTATTAAGTCAAATCCAAAACGTCGTATAAACAGCAATGAGAAACTAAATACATAACTTAATACCTACAGTATTAAAAATCTCAGTAAATTGCTACAGAATAGTATTATTCTAATAATTCTAATACTTAATTGCACTTACTGTATCGACAGTTTTTAAATGATATATAAGGTAGATAATGCTTCGGATACCGAATCGAGCCCACTTCTCTTTATGTTTACATTTTGCCCTTTAAATTGTATTTTAACTGGTGTCCGGCTTTGTGACTAACTCAACTTTGCTTTCTAACTCCGCACCGCACATTTCACTGCATTCAAAAAATGCACCACCACCACCCATATGCGCATCCACATCCACATCCTGTGCCGGTCACTGTATCTAGGCTACCTTACAGAGGACAGCAGCATCGGGGCCAGCGGCGGCAGTCTCCTGTCCGCCCACACGGGCTCCTTGCTGCGGTCTACGAAGGCCCTGCGGACTCCAGGACCGCTGCACTCGGCCAGGGCTCGACGTGGGCGGCGCAGTCAGTCGGCCTGCGGGGAGCTGAATATCCTGCAGTCGGCCAAACCACAAAGTGCAGTAGTAAACAGTAGTAAAGCAGCGGGAAGTCGCAATTCGCGGAGTAAGATGCGCACTCCAATGGCCTCGCGTTCCAAGGCTTTCAGTGCGGATCGCACACCGCTGGCACAGATGCAGATGCGATCGGGATCACCGTGTTCGCCGCCAATGGCCTTCCTGCGCTATCCCAAACCCGGCGAGGTGGCCCTCTCCAAATTCGGCAGCCCCATGGTGGCTCAAGTGTAAGTTTCTCGATGTTTGCATCTCTTCCCCAAAAAGTCACCCATTAACAATGAATTTTCGTAATCAATAGAATGCCAGACAAGTTCGCCAATGTGAACATACCCATTCGAAACGGAGTGCTCAGCTTGCGGCCCAAGAAACTGGATGCTGGCGAGGTCGAGTCGAATCTACTGGAGAATCTGGATGAGGATACCCTAAACCAGATCAAAACACTGCACGAGAACTTGCAGATGATCGTGAATAAGGCCAGCCAGGCGGGTTTTAAGTAGTTGCCCATTCGAATTGCTCTTCTAGATATAAATTCTATATCATATATTTTAGTACGTTTTTTGTTTAAGTTCAGTTTTCATATTACCCAAATAGTTCAAGTATTTTGTCTTCATTTATTAAATTCTATATCCTATTTACCTATTTAAGCTTCAACACAAGTTCATAAGTTCTATGTTCATGTAAGTGTCCGGGGACTTCATTGTAATTTTTTAAGTGCATTGTTAAAATAAAAAATGCGTCGCTCTATGATTATGACACGACTTCAGGCAAAACGCCGAAAAACCGAAAGAGATGAGAAGGTGCGCATCCAATTTAATTCTGCTATGGATAAATTCGATGAGATAGAGAAATTTGTAAACTAGATGTAGATTGTCATTTAAATTATATTTAAATGAAATGGCCAGATTTTATTCTTCTTCTACAAGGTAAGATAATTATTTAATCGAGGGGGATTACAAAAACATTTATTGTTTAGTTATCAGCGAAATCTAGACTCAAATTTCGGAACCAAACAAAACATCTTAAGATGCCTGGATTTGAGACACTTCTTGCACATGATTATTTTTAAATTTAAATTATTGTTATATTATAAATATTTTATTTTAGTTCTTTTCCAAGTAATCACTATGGACTACAGTACATGTAGTGACTATGCACACCAAGAGTGTGTGCATAGGAGACTAATATATATAGCCGTAAAATCTGCTATGCTGGCCCGATCATACCGAGTAATACACCAATCTTAAAGTAATGCTTATTCAGTTTGTAACACAAAATTTCATATTAGACATTTTATATGTTGAAGGTGCGACCGTCACGACTTCTTGACCTCGTTAAGAGGTGTTTTTGTTTGATAAATACTAGTTTGAGTTCTGTTTCTACCAAAGAGCCCTGCGACTTTGCTTTAACTTGACTTAATGTTAGTTGACAGGCTAAGGAACATTTGGAAATATGCCTCGCACCAAGATAGTAGCACGTAGGCAGGCTCAGCGCCAGAAGGCTGATCGCGATGAGAAATTGCGTCTGGCCCAAATTAAGATGGACTCCGCACTGAACCAGATCGATGAGCTGGGCAAGCGCTGCAAGCAGGAGGTGGACAACCAAATCAAGCTGATCCGCGGGAGGACTGACAAGCAGCTGCTACAGATGAAGTTGTCTGACTTCGCGGCTCTAAAGATTAAGAATTTCGCTGATCATCAGTGGGCTGGTAAGATTTTTTTTTAGACTAACTAAAATTTTAAAAATATTATAGTTGATATATTACCATATTAAGATTGAGGTTCGCACAGCAACGGAAATCGTTGTTAATTAAGCAATGCCCAGTGCTCTTTCCACAAAGTGTGTTTTGAATAGCTCCAATTTTAACTAAATATTAATAAATCTCTACGATTTCTTTGCTAGCTAATAATGATTTCGTAGAAAATGCTAACTATCGCTTTAAAAGGGAAAGAAAGGGTTTTCAAAATTATTTTATTTACCATTAAACTTTCTTAAAGACAGTAAATACATGTAAAACTCCAGTACTAGAAGTTGACATAACTTAAACATACATATTTTGGTTGCAAGTGGTGATTCGAGCAATGAATTACGAAAATAAAAGTGCAAGAAAAAATATTTAAAAAAATTAATTTAAAAAAAATTTAATTTAATACCCTTTTGGGTAATACTAATGGTAGTAAGGAAAAGGTGGATAAATTTTGTAATATGCTTTAATACGTTAGTTTTGCCTTCGGAAGAAATAAATTTCCTAAATAGCGGAGTCAATATAAATTACTATAGTTTGTAATAAACAAATGTTCTGCTCCACCTTAGCTCCCAAGCCACCAACAACTCGCAGTCTCTCCACCACCTACCAACGCGGTCGGAATCGGACTCCCCAGAATCCGCAGTTGCCGCGGCCCCAGGCTCAATCGGTGGATAGGGCACTTCGCGGCGACACCATGAGCTTTGTGCGATGGCCCAGGGTCGGGGAGCAGGTGCTCTCGAAGGCCGGAAGTCCGCTGGCCGTTCAGATGCCACCAGATCGCTGTGTTGACGTGCACATTCCCACCAAGAAGGGCGTGATCACCGTAAGACCGCACAAGATCAACGAAGTAAAGCGGGATGTTCTAATGCAGCTGGACGAGAACACCCTCAACCAGGTGAAAGTGCTTAAGTCCAATCTGGGATTGATCGTGGATATGGCCGCCAAGATGGGAAGACTAAACCCCTAGGAACGAACCGAAAGACCTTCATGATTATTACGCTTATTTCGTTAATATTTTATTTAGTCTTTTTCATTTTCTCATTTTCAATGTTTTTGTTCAGTTGTTAAACATTAAGTGAACGTGTCTGTTGTTCTTGTTGCTGTTTGCTGCAGTTTGCTTGCTTATTGTTGTATAATTAATTAATAAATTTAATTACCTTTAAGTATATATATATATATACATATACATATATATATATATATATATCGATTTGTAAGTACAAACATAGCGTACAGAATTTCATCTCCACTAATTTCAAATTTAATTGTTTAAACATTTTTCTATTGTGTTGCATGTGTGTGTGTGTGTGTGTGTTGTTTGGTGTGTCTGTGGGTGCCCATTCTCAATTATGCTTGTAAGTACTTAGTTAAACTAAAGTATATTGTTTTTTCTTTCAAATGTAAATTCAAATGAAACGTCATTTGGTTTTGCCTTACATTTCTTTTTCACTTTGCATTATGTGAATCCTTAGACAAAAGTTACATTTACACATATACAGATTTAATTTTAAAAATTATCATTTAATTTTAGTGTATATAGTGTTAAATTTGTCATTTGTTTTCGTCGTCTCCTATTTAAGTGTGAAATGCCTGTGTGGATGTGAATGGGTGTAGTATATATATAGTTACAGTTACATAAAAATACAATACATAGCAAAAAGGTACATATATAGAGACTTAAAATACACTTGTTTATACTGAATTATTCAATACGATTTTTAGAGACAAAGACAACATATGAGGACAATCAATTGATACATGTAAACAGTGACAGTGACAGTGAACGAACAGTGACAGATGACAACAACATAACACTCAGATTTGTAACATTCATTATGTTTTTGGATAAGTTTTCGGTTTTCTGTGTGTGGTTAAGGGATTGATAGTTTTTGTAAAACAAACAATTCAAGGAATTAATAACTTTGGAAGTGCGGTGAACAGTCGCAATCGCCCAAAAAACCAGCAACAAACGAGTATAATCTAATCGAAATGCTCATGATAAATCTAAAACAGTTTGCCGTTTTCTTCAGTACAGTCTTCCCTCCAAATCACGATACCATAGCCTAGCCAAAGTATGAATAAAATTATGTAAAATATAAAACATAAAATGCATATGTGACACTTTGAACTGAAGTTGCCTACTCTTTAAGATCTGATCCCTTCCATAAATTCAGCATTAATCCAAACTTCTACGTGGGAAAACCAACTTAATTAAATGTCGGTTTCGGTTCCTATAAGCGTTCCACGAACGCATCTCTAACTATTCCAAACCCGACTGCTACTTAAAAATGGTTTTCACTTTCAAATTTTCGGTCTTTCAACTTTGTTTTCTTTTTGTAACACAGCCAATCTTCACTCCAACCAACCCACTTTTCGCTCCGCTATTTTTTTTCTGCATAGACTGAAGGGAAAAAAATTCAAATATTTGAATACTTGTGTTCCATATTCTGCATGAGATTTTGTTTGTTATATTTTGCTCTCGGTTTTGTTTATTTGTTTGTGGATCTATTTTGCGGTCGTACAAATTTCTACTCGCTTTTATACAAAATTGTGCTATTTTTTGCTATTTTGTTTAAAACTATTTTTGAGGCTGTTGTTTTAGAATTCGTTATAACTTTTAAATGCTAGTTTATATATATTACTTTTTTTTTGTATTCCGTTATTCTTATGTTTGGGCACTACTCATTGCGGTTCAGGGCATCTTTTTGTGTTTAGTAAATAGTATTTTATTTGTAATATCAAGTTTAACAAATCTTTGTAGGCATTATGCACGGGTACAGGGCGTTGCATTATTTGTTTTGTTATTCTCATTCTCATTCCTTCCTCTGCTAATATCTTAAATCGTCTGTGAGTGATTTGGTACAAATTTTATGGTACTAGGTTGCATAAAAATTAAATAGATCCATTTCTGTACATTATAAGCAAATAATTACGCCTAAGCTGCCTTTGCTTCGACTTAAGGACACCCGCTACTCAGATTCGGAATAAAGAAAATAACTTTATGATATTCATCAGATGTGTCTAAACGAAACCAATTTGTCCTCCAATGATCGAAATATATATTTAATATTTTTCGAAAAAGCTTTGATCGGTTGCCTGGTATTAAACTTGTTTAAATTTATTGGTAAGTTCTAATATGCTTTATTATGTACAAAAATGTATACGCAACTGGTTCGATTAAAGGTGCATAATAACAGAATAACTTACCAAATAAAATATGCTCTATAGTAGGTATTCTTATCAAAATTAAGTCCGCGTTGCATTTACGTAAACATTATTTGCCATTGGGTTAGTTATCTTTAAGTGTAATTAGGTTATTTCCTTAGATCCTCCATGAAGTTTATACCGTTTGTAAATATTTATTTATTTTAAATATATTCGAAATAATCGCCTATATTTCGTTATGCTTATAAATTAATTAATTTCATTAAATGCTTAAATTCATTAATGCACTTTATATGTACTTTTTGTGTTGCTGTGTGTGAAATTTTCCTATATCCTTATCCCGTATAAATATATATATGTATGAATCGGTATATATGAATAACTGGCTTTAAAACTATTTATATAGATGTATATATAATGCTAAATGCAGTATACTTGTGTATATTCATTTGTTATACTTATACTTTCCTGGTTTGAGGTTTTGTCAGTATAAAAACTATGGGGCATTTGAATTTTTAGTTTAATTGCATTAAATGTAGCCTCTTAAAGAAAAACTCAACCCTAAGCTACTTATTAGAGTGTGACAAAAGTAATTTAGCTAGCAGCGTCAAAAAAGTATTTTCTTTGATAGATTTTCAAGTAATTTGATGTGAACTATTGGCAAAACTATTTACAATTCATGTTAGTCGTTTTAATATATTTCAATGATTATTCGGTTATGCTCAATATTTTTTATAAATTTGTATTTTATCATACGCTTTTGAACTTAACGAGAGGTATTTCTATTTTCCCAAGTGTTAATATCTTCTTTATCTTCAATTATGTATTCCTTTTATTCGTGTTGTTTGTCGTTGTTTTGGGGCCTTGTTTCAGTATCATAATTTGTTAAATAAAATCAAAATGTGGTAAGTAAAGAAACATTTATTTTTTTAATGTATTGTATATAAATTTTTATTTAGGGCTTTGCAGTTTAAACAGTATTTTAATAAAATTATAAACTATATTTATATCAATAATATTTGTATAGCATTTGTATCGTTTCTTCTTTAAAATAATATTTATAACGATTGAACCCAACTTAATAGACTTAAAAGAGTTAAACAAAATCAAAAATCAATAAAAAATTACATAATAGAAAACGTGAAACGTTCTTTGCTTTGCTTTAGCTTGCAAAATGTTCCTTGAAAGTGTTTTGAATTAAACATATATGTATACATGCCAATGTTTTAAATGTAATGTGTAATAGTTAATATAAAATTGGTTAAAATTACAAATTAGTTTAAACAAAACCTGTAAAATAGCCTTCACATGAAATTGCAACGCCAACCTTGCTTTGCGCGCTTTGCTTTCTCGCTTTGATATAAAATTATTTAAGAGTAATTACAATACATTTAAACGAGCATTAACTAAATTACAAATTAAAATTTTAGACGGCGCAACTTAGTGAAATTTTTTTAGTGAAATTATGTACAGTTATAGGGATAGTTTTGCTAACAATTTAGTCGAAGAGAAATGTTTTGGGTCCGGTTGGTAAATTGGTAATTCAAAAAGCATTAATGTTCGAAGATGCTTAAAAATGTTTAGAAGCTAAACATAAAGCAAAGCCTTTGGAGGTTGCCGTTCTAGTGCTTTTCCAGAAACAATTTAGCAACATTTAGTACATAAAATTTAACAAATTATCACACTGAACAAAATTCAACACTACTTTTAAAATATACATTTGCCTTACGTACACGAATACGTAAGCAAGTTTGTGTTTTGTGTGTTACATGTTACATGTTACATGGATTGGATTCCCTTCGAATTGTATACATTATATATTATCGCTTGTCGTTATGTCTAGAGCTTAGCCAACTGCTGCCGTCGCCAGCGCCTCTCCAAATGTTATACAATAGTAATGTTATTGTTTTTTTGTTTGTTTTTAAATATACATCTATCAATTTAACAACACCTCGAAACGGCCAGCACTTAACGCATAGTTATGTATGTTTCTGCTTGGTTTCTGTTTTCTTTCGTTTGTATATATAGCTCTTAGAATTAGGCTTTATCTTTAAACGTAATAAATATGCATTTCTTTAATCATTTTTCATCATCCATCTTTTTATGAAGTTATTTGCGGTTTTGAAAATATTTAACTATAGCTTGTGTATCTGGTAATTATTTTTTCGCAATTACTTTTTCGACGAGGTTCCCATTTTGCTTTACAATTAATATTTGCTAGTATTATAAAATAAATATATTTAGGTATATATATATATTTTTTTTTTAAATAGTGCTGCTAAGATTTTAAATTAGATTTACACGCTTCTCCTTCTCCCTCCGTTTCATCCATTGATTTCCTATTATTTTTTGTTGTTTTTGTTGTTGTTTTTAGAGCCATAAATGCGTGCGCAAGAGAAGTTTGGTTGAATGTGATCCTGGGTTGGTCGGTGGTGTCCACCTTAGGGTCACCTCGTGGCGCTGCTGGTGAAGAAGTCCTCTTTGGAAAGGCAAGATATTTTGGCTATCAGTTTTGACCATTATGTATGTGTATATAACGTCTTCTACTTACGCGTCTCAAAACTAAAGCCCAGCGTTGGATCTGGCGGCGTATTGAGCATGGAGTTGCCGACATTGCCGACATTGCCGCTGCCCGTGGGCGTTACATTGCCCATGGCGTTTGTACTGTTGGCCCCGCCCACAATTCCACCCTGTTGCAGCGGACTCTGCGGCGTCTGTCCCCGCTGAACCACGCCGCCTCCTCCGCCGCCTCCTGCACCGCCCGTGGCCGCCGCTGCCGCCTGCTGGGCCCTCACACTGACCACCGCCCGCAGCTCCTGCTTGACGAACTCGGAATTGGCATTGCCACCGCTTACTCCTCCACCGCCGGCTGAAAGAGTGAAATGAGATCATCTCAATTATCGCAGATCTATCAGCCGAATCATATGCTCTATATATGTATATAGGGTTTAGTCACATTGGTTTTTTTGGCTCAAGTCTAGACATAGAACATAAAATAAATACAAAACATACACAACAGAATACAACATGGAACACAAACGGTTGAGGCACACTAAAAAATTGGGGATTGGGAAATATAGTTTCGGGTGTCAATAAACATAAAATCCTATGGCAGTAACCAATATCGAAAGTTTCTAAGCTCTCCATAATCTAGTTTTTTTTTTTTTTCAAATATCAAATATCAATTTTTTTTTGGATTTGTTCTTATGACTAAACATTTTACAGGGATATTGGGTACACCAAATGCTGTTTGTGAAGGGTGCAGCGTCTGCAACTATGTTTGCTAGATATTATATACAGCTCAACCGACTTGTCTTATAGGGCGATTAGGTTAATTACAATGATCGTACAGTTATACAAAGTTATCTATATATATACGCATATGTGTGGGTTAGGGGTGTTGATATGTATGTATGTGGTTCTTAGCCTAAATGTAAATCTTGTTTATATAGATATAAATATATGTATATACAGAATGCTCCCAAAAATTTTGATTTGCTTTACGATGCGTGGCAATGGATTATACAGCCATATGTATTATATGCATATATGTACACAGAATTCAAGGCGGGGTGATTTATACAGCGATCGCGTCAGAAATTTAAATGAGAGTTTCAGTTTGAGTTTTGAGTATTGAGTTTTGAGTTTTGAGAAGAGCACTCAGGCTTACCGGTCTGCGGGCGACCATAGAAATCATTCGCCTGCTGCGATTGCCCATAGCCCAGGCCATAGTTGCCGCCCCCGCCGCCAAGGCCAATGATGCCGTTGCCACCGCCACTGCCCATCCCGCCCACGCCCATCATCGCCGGATGCGGATGTGGATGTGGCGACATGCTCAGTCCGTTCATCAGCTGTTGCTGTTGCTGATGTTGTTGCTGCTGCTGCTGCTGTTGCTGCTGTTGCTGCTGGTTGCTGGCGGCAGCTGAGCTATCAGTGTTGTTGCTGCTGCCCGTTGAGGAGCCAAAGCGTGGCGAGCCTGTTTTGGTTAAGCGGTTTTGGTTGGTTTTTTTTGTTTTTTTTTTTAATTTTTTTCGTTTGGCTTTGATTAAAACTAGTTCAGATTATCAAGTGTTTGTATGGAGTGTGTGTGTGTAAAGTGTGTGTGTAAAGTATATGTGTTTGTGTGTGTAAAGCTGCCTAAGTATGTAATTGAATGTTTAGTATGTGGATTAAGGGGTGCTTAAATCACAAGAAGTATCTCTCTATGCTAATTGTAGTTTCCCCCCCTTAATTCTTAACGCTTTTCCCTTGATAAACAGACTAAATGCCTAGTTCTCAGTTCAATGGGGTTCATCAAGTTTGCCGCTCTCCAACTTACACTTACCTGGCAGATGTTGGGTTGCCTGTGGCACACTGCCCTGTCGCTGCAGTCGCTGCAATTGTTGCTGCTGGAAAACGTTGACATTGCTGCCGTACGGCGACTGTGGGCCACCGAAACCATCGGGTGTGGTGGCTCCACCACCGCCGCCCTGACCCTGAAACGAGTTCTGCCGCTGGAGGACCGCTGCCGCTGATGGATTGCCGGCGCCGCCGGGTCCAACAGCTCCCGGGGAATTGAGGCCACGTCTCTGGTTCTGTTGGTATTGACGCGCATTGTACGGACTCACGCCCTGTGCAGCATGGTCATGAAAAGGTGTTAGTTGACCGCCCCTTCACTTGGCTAAATTCTCAGACACTCACCTGCAACTGAGCGATGAGCATGGGGTTGTGCTGCTGCAGCGTTCGGCCAGCGTTTCCGGCTGGCAGTGGACCACCAGGTCCGCCAGCCCCGCCTCCGCCAGCTCCCCACTGCTGGGGGCTATTCTGCATGCCCGGCGATTGCATGCCCGAATTAGAGCCAAATGGAGTGTTGGAACGACCGCCATCGCCAACCTGTTGCTGCTGCTGTTGCTGCTGCTGGTAGGCCAACTGTTGCTGCTGGGCATTGTTCTGCTGCTGCTGCTGCTGCTGGTTGAGCTGTTGCTGCTGCTGCGGGGAGAGACGTTGGCCAGGTTGCGGGAACTGAGGGGCATAGCCTGTGGTATCAAGAGAAGTAGTGAGTAATAGGTTTTATAGGGCCATCAAAATCGATCTCACCTTGATTGGGCTGCGGACTGTAGGGCGTGCTGCGACCAGGACTCAGCTGCTGCTGCATCAGCGTCTGGGCAAAGTTTGGACTCAGCTGGGCGTCCGAGGGCAGGTTGGTGCGGGATAGGGACACGTTCGGAGCCACCGTCGTGTTCAGCAAAGAGCCAATGTTGTTCAAGCCCGCGTTCATGCCAGCTAAAATGGGAATTTTTGACATTTACATTAAATTTCGGAACAAATTATTTGATATTATAAGGGATTTAATGGAGAGATCTAGACAGATATTTAGCACAAAGAGCGCGGCGTTTCTAATTTTACCACTCACAAATCCAAAACCTTATCTAATAACAAATTTCCCCTTCACTATTTTTGATAAACATTTATTTTTAATTAATAGAACACTTTTGTTATTCTTTATCGTGGTTCCTAAACAAAAAAAAACAATCATTTAACAGCACATTCCTAAAACAATCGGGACATAAAATTATAAATTTTTGTTTCAGAAATTTGTTTTGCATACATGATTACTTATAAATTTCTGACTTACAGTTTAAGACTCTTTAAAATTAATTTAAACTGACTGCTTTTCATAATTGAAAGTCTTTTTACAACGAAATATGTGATAAAAAAAACCTTCAAAGTTAAGAAAAGATCAACAAAAAATCAAAACACATCAAAGAAGCCTTTAGATTTTCAGGTTTTAAATATAGTTTACTTTAAAATGTATTCCAAATATCAAAGTGCAAATTTCAAAAAGCTGTTGACCAAAACAAATGTTATTAAACTATGCTATTTTTCCTTAAACCTTAAAGCTTGTTATAAGAATAAAGGCATCATTATCTTTGATGTGTTTCTACTCTTTAAAAAATGTGGAAACTCATTAACCATTAGCCTACTTCAAATTCTTTAATCATGCTTAAATCAATTAAAAAGGCTTCAATGACCAGAAACACTTATTAATTGTTTGAAAATACTTTATAATTTACTGCTATTGACAATAAAAATGATTTTACAAAGAATTATGCGATTTAGAATAAGAAAAAGGACAAAAAACAAACAGTACATGTTGAAGTTAGCTTTAGATTTTTAAGTTTTAAAAATAATGTATATAAGGGTTACATTCCCTGCTACTCACTGGCATTCTCGGGGACGAGCAACTGTTGCTTCTGCTGCTGCTGCAGCAAACGCTCCTTCTGCTGGGCTGCGGCCAGTTGCTGCTGCCGCATGGTACGCAATTGCTGCTGGGCGGGCAGGACCACGCCCCCGGGAGTGGCCACCGCATTCATGGGTCCACGTCCGCGGGCTGGGTACATGGGCGGTGGTCGCTGGAAGCCCTGGTTGACCTGATTGCGCATGGCTTCCATGCGCTGCATTATGTGCTGCTGCGTTTGCTGTTGCTGCTGCTGCTGGTGTTGTTGCTGTTGCTGTTGCTGCTGCAGACTGAGCATGCCCGGATAGGCAGGCGGTTGCTGCAGATGCTGCTGTCGCTGTTGCTGCTGTTGCTGTTGCTGCTGCTGCTGCTGCTGTTGGGCCAGCTGCAACGCCAGCAACATTTGCTGTTGCTGTTGTTGCTGGTGCTGCTGCTGCTGCTGTTGCGGCTGACCCATCATGAGGTGTTGGTTCAGATCGTTGCCAAAGGCAACCGACTCCACGTCCAGCATCAGTGACTTTTGAATATCGCTGATGGCCGAGGCCTCCGACGGTGCGTTCGTCACAATGGGAGTATCATCCGGATAGTACTCCATGACGCTGTCCAGCAGCTTGGACAACTCCGTGTCGCCGTCGCCCAGAATAGCCGTCGCCGCTGCTGCCGCCGCTGCTGCAGCCGCCGCAGCCGAAGTGGAGGCCGCTGTGGTAATTGAGGTAGTTGCTGTGGTCGCCAGTTGCTGCTGGTGCTGGAAGTTCAGCTGCGGCGGCTGGAGTTGCTGTTGCTGCTGCTGTTGCTGCTGTTGCTGCTGGCTGAGGTAGACATCGTTTGGCTGCTGCTGGGAAGGAATGCCGGCTGCTTGTTGCTGTTGCTGCTGCTGTTGTTGCTGCTGCTGTTGCTGCTGCTGCTGTTGTTTTCTGTTGCGATTGGCGGCCGCTTTGGGCCCAGTACTACCAGCACTTATGAGGTTTCCGGGAGCGGCCAGCGTACTGCTGGAGCTGGTGATGTCCGGCAGCACCTTCACCTGCAACGGCTGCTCGGGATTGGGGGCTTTGGGTATCTTTGGCGGATTCTGCAGCAACTTGGCCAGCATCTTGTTCTGCGTGCACAGTTTGCTGGGCTTGTCCTCCGACCGCTTGGCCGAGGGGTCGTCATCCGGTTCGTTCAGCGATCGCTTGCGACTCAGCAGCGACGGATCGCTTTGAATCTTGAGCATGGCCTTCAGATCCTCGGTGCTCATGTTGCCGCCGGCACTGCCACGATGCATGCCATGACCACCGCCGTCGGGATTCTTCAGCTGGCGCATCAGCTCGCTCTGGCGGGAGTTGTTCATCGAACCCGGTCCACCGCCCGATCCGTTGCCATCATCCTCCTCCGACTTCTCGTTCAGCAGCTGTTTAAAGCAAAGTATTTAGATGGGGAATGACCCACTTTTCAGCATCATTCACTTACCTTGAGCAGCATGGGATTCTGCGAGTTACCAGCCTTGTGCAGCATGCTGGAGTTGCCGACACCACCGCGTCCCATCGGTCCCATGGGTCCGAACATTCCCAGGCCTCCCGGCTGACCGCCCATCTTGAAGCCACCGCCCGCGAGCTTCTCGTCATCGGTAATCTCCGGCTTAAAGTACTGAAAAATCAAAAAAATTCCGTTTAAAAGTATGTAAATATTTCAGCAATTTCCCTATGTTTATTATTGTTTCTTAAAAAAAACTATTTTATAATTCCGCAGTTTTTTTTTGGAAATTTGCAGAGTTCTGTACGTTTTTTATAAACCTATTTTCTTTATAAAGACAGGGGGTTCTAATTCATTGAATAAAAAATGTAACCATATAATCATTAAAACAGATTATAATAAATGTTAATATTACATGATTACGGACTTCGTTTATTTTAATATAACATAAAACATACTACATTTTATCACATTATATTCTTTTATACATTTTTAGTTTTAAAACATTTTTGTTTTTTTTTTTTCAAATAAAAACAAAAAAAAAACAAGAAAGAGCGCTATAATCAAGATACCCGTTACTCCGTTTCAGCAAAATTTCAAACTATATATATAATAAAAAATCGGCGTGTAGGTGGCGCCATCTGTCGCGCTGTATTGCCAGCACTAGAAGCTAAAACTGTGGAGCAGCCCAAACCTTCTCAGCGATCACCGGCAGAGCAGCGGCAGAGTGTCGGCAGCAGATTACTATATAAAGCAATAGCTTTTAAAATATTAGCTCGACTTTGAAAATGTTGGTGTCTTATGACAGAAGTGACCGAAACACTCACAACTGAAGTCTAACATGATAACATGATCCCAAACTTTAGCTTTTATAGTTTCCTAATTTCGACGTTCATACAGACGGACATGGTAATTGCAACTACATTTTGATTTTTTACTCAATGAAGTTATAAATATTAATGTTTGTTTTATAAGAGCTTGATGAAATAACAAATTTATTTAAAAAACTGAAATACTCGTGCGGACGGTACTCACCTTCTCGTCCTCACCCAGTCCGCCCAGACCGCCGGCCATGCTCTGCGACTTGGTCAGCAGATGGCGCAATCGCTCTGAGGATTCCTGTTGTTGCTGCTGCTGCTGCTGCTGCTGTTGCTGCTGCTGCTGCTGTTGCGGCGGAGTCTGTTGCTGCTGTTGCTGTTGTTGGGAGAGCAACAGTCCACTCACTCCATTTGGCAAACCGCCCATTAAAGCGTTGTTAGTGTTGCTGTTACTGTTGTTGTTTCCCTGCTGCTGCTGCTGTTGCTGTTGCTGCTGCTGCTGCTGCTGGACATCCTTCTCGGTCTTCACATCGCCCGCGTCGAAGGAGTGGAAATTGAAACCGTAGTTGCCGCCGCCGGCGCTGGCATTTGACTGCGGCGAAGGCAGGCTGGCGGCGGAGTGCGAGGATAGCTGGTAGGGCGTGGCCGGAGAGGCGCACACGGCCGGACTGAAGCCGTGGCCCGATGGTGGACGTGGCGTGCTGACCGGCGTGGCCACCGAGGCTCGCGAATTGGGCCGCGAATCCGTCCAGGCGCCCACGCCGCCGCTGGGATCCATGTCGAATGAGGAATGTGCTGCAATGTCGAACTCGAAGGTGTCGCTGCCATAGAAACTATGCTCCGCGGCGGCCGGCGATGCGGTAAACGCATTGACCAGCGCACTGACCGACGAACTTGCCGCGGAGGAGCTGGCTCCGGATCGCTGCTGCTGCTGCTGTTGCTGTTGCTGCTGCTGCAGTCCGCTGGTGCTGCCGTTGATGATGGCGCTGCTCATCAGCGGTCCGCCCACGCTGGTTGTCTGCGTGCCGTTACCACCGCCACCCTGCTGACCGCCACCCACAAGTCCGCCCAGCAGATGAGTGGGCAGCATGCCCGAAGTGGCCGGCGAAGAGGAGGCACCCGAACCGGATCCCAATCCGTCCATCGAGAGGGTGCTGAGCAGTGAGCTGGCCAGCGAGGGACTCGACGCCATGGCGCACAGCTGCCCCAAACCCAATCCTCCGGCTGTGCCCGTGCCCGTGCCCGCCGCTCCCGTGTTGCTGCTGTTCATGTCGTTCTCCGAATTGAGCAACGTCTGCACGGACATGATGAAGTCACCCTCGCCGGGCGTTTGATTGAGGAACAGTCTCGAGTTGGCCTTCACATGCACATACACATCGGGGGCGCCGAGTCGCAGGCGAAATGGACGCGACACCACACTGGAGCCCGCTCCGGCGCCCGGTGAATGAGCGCTGGCCGAGTCCTGGATGTCGCGCAGATGCGACTTGAGCGTGGAGAGGTCGTGCGGATGGCAGAGATCCTGCCACAGGCGACCCACCCACGTCTGCAGGTGCTGCTTGAAGGGCTCCCGCAGGGCAGTGGGATCGAGGGTGAGTATTTTGCCGTGGATGTCCAGCTTGAAGGTCATCTGCTCGATCGGCTGCTGTTGCACATGCTGCTGAATGTTGATCTCCAACGGAGATTCGTCCTCGGGTCGGGTGATCAGGCACAGCACCGAGCTGCTGGCATCCGCATCATCTGCAAATTATATATATATATATATATGGTATATTAATGGTTTCGATTTGGAATAGCTTTGGCCTCTATCCCCTCATACTCACCCTTGACTGGAGCCGCTATGAGTACCACCTCCTCGTACTTATCCTGATGACCCGACTGTCGCAGTGACTTCTCCTCACAGTTGGACAACGTTTGGGTGGCGGTGCGTGTGTCCTTGACTAGCATGCGCACCTTCGTGGAGATGCTGCGCTTCGACTTGCCCACCGCAGTGCCACCTGCTCCTCCTCCTCCGCCTCCTGCTGCTGCTGCTCCACCTGAACTGGAATTGGAGCCAGCCGACTGCTGGGAGGCATTGCCATTGTTCAGCTCCTCGAGATCGCCCCAAACGCCTACGTTTCCGGTGGCGCCACTACCACTGCCACTGGCAGAGGAGCTACCACCACCGCCAGCGCCATTGGGATTGACGTTCATGTTGTTGATGATCGGCTCTAGCTTGGCGTGATCCCCCTTATAGAGGTACATGTAGAGCGGCTGGTGGTACAGCTCCTGCTTCTCATAGCCGATCAGCTCGCGAATGTTTTGCGTGCAGGACTCAATGATGCCGTTGGCGTTCACCTGCAGCAGGACCCAGCCGACGCCGCTGATGTAGTGTTCGAGTGCCTCAAAGTACGCCGATATCTCTGGCACCTGGCCAAGGAGCAAAGATGTCTCCGACAGCGGTGGCTCCGTCGAGGAGACCTCGCCCTGTTGCACCGGATGGATCGAGCAGTTGTCCGTGGCACAGCGACTGCAGCGCGTTGAGGTTGCTTGCGGTTTGCTGGTGTTGTTATTGTTATTGTTGTTATTGTTGTTGCTGTTGCTGTTGTTATTATTGTTGCTATTCGTATTGTTGTTGGTCGTTGTCGTGGAGTTGTTGTTGTTGTTGCTCGTCGACGTTGAGGATATATCACGGTTTTGGCCCTTGTCACAAATCTCACGATACTGTGGGATAAATAAGCAAAACATGGAGTTACAAAATGTAAAACAATAAATTCATTAATTGATTAAAAGGGCCGTTAAGCACTTGATACAAATTGAAACTTTTGTAATCTGGAAATCTTTAAGTTTTAGCAATAAAATGGATACAAGATTGTTTTACAAATATTTAACACGTTTACATTTCTGAAGCTTTATAAATTTGGATACACTTTGACATAAATAAGATTGTTACAAAATTGTTGGAAATCTTGGAATCTATAGTAATCTGGAATATTGACTATTGTCTTTTTTTCTTAAGTTTCTTTATCAATCAAAAGATATATGTCTAACACTATTATTTATTGTAATTAAAACAAATATAAGAAATTGTTTAATTTTAAAAGTTCAGAATTCCAAAGGTAGAGTATTTGTTAGGAACAGGAAATAATAAATTATTTAAATTGTCCGTAAACACTTTTTTTCAATTATGTACAATTATTTTGAAATTAATATTAACATGAATATGTTTAATATACAGAGCAAAACTACACATTTTATTAAAATATGATGTTTCAAGATGATTTTAAAGAAAACAAGGCCTCATCATATTGTAATTTAAAAATATATATAACTCGATTTGTGCTGCCTTGTAAATATTAATTTGAAAGACCACTTTGTGACAAGCCTTATGAAAGACTTATCATCGCCTCAGATCGCATCTGTGATATATTCCGAGTATAAAACTTCATTCATATCGCGCCCACTTTATCGGTGACATTTATTTGAAGATGATGCGGAAGCATCCCGTGCAAAAACTCATGCATATTATGACACACAGCCAGTAATATAATTATTATTGTAGCACGAAGATCGGCACACTTTGTGTGGAGTAGTAAAAAAAAAAAGGCAGAATGAGAGGGGAAAATCGCTGGACATGGGGAATTCACTCATTGTATTGACACAATGGAAGTGCAATAAACCGCATTTTATCATTCTATGTATGTTTGTGTTATTTTTACGCGCGCGTTTGAAAAAAAGAGTCATTGACATTTGCGAAAAGCACGCGAAAAGCCCTCGTCATATTCAAATATTATTGTTATTGTTAGGATTTCGTTTTCCTTTGAGTTGCCACTGCACACCTTCCACTGCCACCCACTTTTCCATTGGCGCCCACTCGCTCTCCTGGAACAGTTCCTCTCTCACACATGGGAATTCAAGGTCAGTCAACTTCAACTTCGCGTGGACAAATGTCAATGGCATTTCACTTTTGTTTTGGTTTCGCCGTGGCTTCTTATTCTTATTGGTTTTGTTTTCTTTCAGCTTATCGGCCAAAACCTTGGTCTGAATGTGTGACTCAATTCGGGCCAAGAAGCAGCGCAATTACTCACGAAAAATCACGGAAAATACAGAAAAACAGAACACAGAACGTTCGCACAGGCACAAAGTTTCCGAATACTGAACACACATTTTTTGAATGCAATTGTGTTTAAAAAATGGCACAACAAAAAATAAGCTTTGTGCTCTCTCTTTGGAATACTCTCTCTCTGTTTCCAGTTTTGTTTACCGGCTTGTTTTGGGAGAGAGTCTCTATGTGTCTGTGTCTTATCACATTGTGCACCTGTTTGCGCCCGTGTGTGTGTGTGTGTGTGTGTGTGTGGGCGGGGGAGAGAGTAATTTCTTATGGAGCAAAGCAAAGCAACAACAGTTAAGAACAATATAGAATATAACGCAGCAATCGCAACTATGTGAAATTGCAAAAAGAGCTGCGACGTCATCGTCCAAAAAGCGTTTCAAAGCAGTTCGTTGATCTCCGAAAAAAACAGAGAGAGAAAGAGCTTTTACTTGAAAGGAAGCTCCCTCCCGATTGCGCTTGTGTGCGTGACCAGGAAAAGTTGCTCCCAAGCACGAAATTTGTTGGGGTGAAGGCACTCCGAAAAATATCAGTCAAACGATTAAGTAAACAGAACAACAACAAGAGCAGCAACGGTAGCCGTTGCAAAAAATAAAGCAGCAACAACAAAAGCGATCCGCGCGTGCAGTCGCGAAAATGTCCAAAACGTGTCTGCCTTTATCTCTTTTTCTTGCCCTCCGCTCCCCTTCCCCGTCAACCCTATCTTTCATTTTTTGGCGCGCTGTGACCCATAGACTCTGCCAAAATGATCACATCAGGTAAAATCAGAGAGAGATAAAAACCAGCAGCTGTGCAACCGAAAAAAAGGGGTTTGTCAACACCCGTATACGTATCGCTTTAAGGCACTGAATCCGGGGATAAAAAGCTCAAATTCAATTTAATTGAGGTGGAAGGAAGTCTTCGAGATACTTTTGTGTATTTAAGGATGTGTGGGTTTCAGCGTGTGAGGGAAAAATCAAATAAGCATATGAATCTGAATCTATTCTTCAAGTTATATCTTAGTAATACATTTTTTCGTGTCCTTAAAGTTTTTAAATTTTTTCCAGATTTAGAGATTCTAGAGATTCATCATTGGCACAGAGAAGATTTGCTAGGTCGACCTGCAATTTTAAAAAACTACGCAATTTGTATTCCGATTTTCAGGTTGGTTATTGAACCAATATTATAATAATATTAATCATTAGGTTTAATTATACAATTTAAGTGTTCTTGAGATACTTTAAAATATTTTTTAAGGTACATAAACAAAAAACTATATATATAAAATAGTGAAAACTATCAAAATCTCTAGACTTAAACCTAGAAATCATGTTCAAAAAACATAAAACGCTTAAAAAACATTGTTTAATTTTTTTTTTTTAATTTTGTTTGATCTATTAATATGTTTTTACTTTGTTTTAAATGCAAATAACCAAAAACCAATTGAAATGAAACCACCCGGATGGTAATAGGTTTGAAACACACTATTCGGGTGATAATATTAAAGGATTTTGCATTACTAAGTATGCTATAAAAATAGTAGTAATACAAAAAAAGGCAAATGGTTTGTTAAAGCATAAAACATTCTACCATTTATTCTTACCACATTTCTTAACAATTTATTCGGCTCTTTATTCTGGCTATTTCCAACCGACGGGTTTAAAAATAGTACCGCACACACCACGTCGAACCCAATCGGCCAATCAGCGATAACAGACAAGTTAAGTGGGGTGGAACGAGTGGAGAATATAGAACAAATAGAACTCGTAGAACCAGCGATGACAACTGGCGCCGTGGCTTAGTTGGTTAAAGCGCCTGTCTAGTAAACAGGAGATCGTGAGTTCGAATCTCGCCGGGGCCTTTCCAAGCGGAATATATATATTTTTTATAAAAATATTTTTTTTTTACATCAACCCTTTAATCTAGTTCTTTTTTGCTAAGTGAATAATAATATTTCAAGGGGTCCGTCAATTGGATTACCGCTCGTAATGAGCTCCGTTCGATCCATCCGATGGCTTTTCTCATTAGGGAAAAGCTAACACGACACGAACGCATTTAATTCAATTTATTTATCATTTGCGGAACTCATGTGTGCGAGCTTGTTGTGCCCTTTAATTGCATTTCATTGCCCGATGACTTGTTTTGTTTTCGCCCTCCTGGATTACAAAATAAAATTATGTATTTTGCATTTTGGCGTTGGCTGTGCGCCGCATTTCATTTAAAAAGCCATTTGTTGTGTTGGTTTCTGTCTTTTTCAGTTTTTGTTTTTAGCTTTTTGTCGTTTGTCGGTTTTTTGGATGTTCGACAAAGCGTGGCGCTTGGCTCGTAAATAATTTGCATAATAAAGTGCTTAGGCTACCTGAAACCAATAGAAAGAAATACCGCAGCAACAATAATAATGCCGCCTAAAACAACATAAAGCCGCTGGTTGGGTCGAGGAGCAGTCGGGTCGGGCTATTGAAACATAAATAAATTTATGTAAATTAAATAAAAATATTAATTAAATTGTGTTGCGGCGGGGGTCAAATTACGTCAGCCAACTCTTCTTCGCCGTTTCTACACCTCGCTCATTCCCCTTTGCGAATTCTTTTAAGCTCTTTTTCGGTTGAGCTTTTAATTGCTTTTTAATTGGAACGCGTTTTTGGTTACACGGAGAAAAATAGTCATCAAAATCCAAAGCAGTTTATAATTCATTTTTAAGAAAAAAGATTCAATGCTTTTTTCTTTAAATAAAAATAAAAGATTTTAAATATATTTTACTTTAACATTCCATTTGTAGGATCAGCAGGAAAAATTTAATTAAATAATTTTAATTTAACTAATTTAATGACTAGACAGAAAAGTGTGTTTGTTTTTTTTTCTCTGTGTACAATTTGTACAAAAAAGAAGCAGACGACGAAGATGAAGTCGCGGGGAAACTGCATGGAAATTACATTGGGGAATTTCGCTCAGTTGCGTTTTTGTGTTGTAATTGATCATTTGGTATTCCGGACAGGCCAGTGGAATCGACTGGCCAAGTCCACCAAAGTCAGCCATTCCCAGGGTGTTATAACAACTTGTATTGCTTTTATTGTGTGTTGGACGCGTTTCGTGCTTATTAGTTGCGTTTGATGAGTTTATGCATTGGGGTCTTGACGGTAATTAACTTGAATGCGAGTGGAGTGGGTGGACTGCTCGGGTTGTCATACATATGTATCCATAGATTTCTTACCGTTCGAACCACTTGGTTTAGTATAGCCGCCTTGTCCGGTTTCGTTGAGGTCATATCACCACGCTTGTTCAGCGTTAATATCTCCGACAGCTGCTCGATATAGCCGTTCTCTGCCTCGCGACGTCGCTTCTCATTGTTGCATTTGTTGATTTGTGATTGAGGCTGCAAAAAGCACAAAATTAATATTTAGTATTTCGCTATCTTATCTAAAAATGTATAAAATATGAGCTCCTAAATTAGTTCCGTTGAGGGTAAATGCTCAACATTTATTTCTTCAACCTTTATAAACGAGTTTTTACGCTAATTAGTTAATCGTCATAATCAATATTTTAAATGGCATAAATTGGTGCCATGTCAAATTTTATGCGTATAATAAATTATGTTATAAATGGCGAGCAACATTATTTCATCAAAATTAGTTTATATAGTGCAATTGAGAAATTTAGCTGTTTTTTAAGAATATTTCAAAAACAAGAACCACAAAATATGTAGTTATATTTCTCTTTTTTAATTTTAAAGATTGATTTATACTTTGAGTATTAACTGGATTTTTAACGGTCTCGCAACACCACTTATTATATATATATAATTTCACATAGTATTTGATTTCAAGAAGATTGTTTCATCAATATTACTTTGTAATAAGACAGTCAAAAGAAGGTAGTGCAAAATTGACATATAGAAACAATATTGTATTTTATATGATTGTAAATTTTGAAAGTTTTATTTAAAACACATATTATAATATATTTTTTTTGGAGTATTTATTTTACATTTTTAGAGCACTTAGAAAGGGAAATTTCCTGTTTAAAACTAATACGACCGTCTTGCGTCACTTCTCTGTAAACTAAATTCTATTTAGACATTTGAACGATATGGACCAATTACCTTTGCAATTTTTTTAAAACTACCAGGGAACGTTTTTAAAAATGTGGCTTGCGGGAGTTCTTTGATATTTAATGAGTTAACTTTACCGGCCGAAACTTACCAGATTGACCTTTGAATCCGTCTTGCGTCGTATCTTTCGGCCGGACGTCGCTGAGTTGGCAGAGTTGGCTGAGATCGGCGATGCCACTGCATTCATAATGGCAGATCGCTGCAGTGCAGCTGCAATATTAGCCGTTTGTGCGGCAGCAGCGGCCGCCGCTTTATTTTGAATAGATCGCTGCGAATTGATTTGTTGCTGCAGTTGCTGGTGTTGCTGGTAGGCCAATTGTTGCTGCTGCTGTTGTTGGTGCTGTTGTTGCTGCTGCTGCTGGTGCTGCTGGTGGTGCTGCTGGTGATGCTGCTGTTGGAGTGTAAGCGCCGCTGCTGTCGAGGCGCCTGCCACGCCCCCAGCACCAGCCCCGCCTCCGCTGGCTGCCGTCGCGCGCTGCAATGGATGCGTTCCGGGCGCCAGTCCGTGATGCAATCCGCTCAACAAGTTGCTGCCAATGCCGCCGCCGGCGGACGATAATGTAACGGCTGCTGTGGCAGCGGCCGGCGAAGAGCGCGGCAGGTTGCAGACCGATATGTTGCCGCTGTTGTACTTGCTGTTGCTACTGTTGCTGCTGCTGATGTTGCTGCCGCTGGCGCTGATGCTGCCGCTGCTGCTGGTTGAGGTCGCTGGATTTGATGTACCTGAGGCCCAATGATCTGGTAAGTCACTTGGGCTAAGCCTGCAAGAAAAAAAAAAAGGAAAACTCAAAATTAGCGAAAGGTTTTTGTTTTGTTTAAATTTTAATTGCTTTTGGAAGAAGCAATTTAATGCAGATTATTCCTTAAAATAAAACGAAAATATTCAAATTCTTCTTTTAAAATGTTTATTATTTCCAATTTTAATAAATTTGTAAGTTAATTAATTCAATTAGAATCAATTGTCTGTCTAATTTTCAATCTTCGTCCAATTTCGGTATGCCTGAACCTTCTGCAGAATTTTGCATTGCTCTTGCTCAAAACAATTTTATTATTTATCAAACTTTAACAGATTCACAGATCTTAAAACGTTTAAAGTTCTTCTTGAATTTAAATAAAATTTTAAGACGTTTCCCAAAAAAAAATATTTTAATTTATCTTTCGTACTGTTGGTTATACCAAGTGCAAATATAAATTTGTAAACATTTAAATTATTTATTCAAAATAAATAAATAAACTAAAAACAATATTTATGTTATGATTTCAAATTTTAAATTTTCTGGAAACCTTGCAGTATTTCGATGTTTTCATGAGTTGAACTTTGCATTGCTTAGGCTTTAAACAAATGTGTTGGATCACTAATACACTTTCTTAATCTTTAATAGATTCGGAGATCTTAATTGTAATCAGACTTGTATTAAATATTTATATTTAAATATATATATTTTTTTATAAAAATCAAAGAACAACCAAAAATAATGTAGATAGTCCGTAATTGGTGAACGAACCATTGTCTGATGGCCTTGGCTCTGGGTTTAGTCTTTGGTTTTGTGGCTTGGCCTCGTATTCTTATCACATTGTAAAATTTCCTGTGCCTTCTATTCTGTTTTCTACATATTTGACTGAAATTATTTTGGTAAATGTGCTGCCTCAATTACGCCTTATTGCCTAATTAATTTGCATTTGAGCAGCGCAAGAGGCACCGACAACAATTAGCTGTTTGTGTGGTTAGGCTTTGAGCTTGGTGGTTGGTGGCGTGAATAGGCGTTTAATTTTATGTGATATAATACTCGTATAAAATTGCGCATTAGGAAAAGATATTACCACGATATATCAATCGGAAAGAGCCTATTTTAACAAAATACTTAAATAAAAACAACAAACACAGTAACGCATTGCCATCATATAAATTGGCAAACGTTTTTTGAAAACTAATTTAAAATGGGTTTCCACATTTTTTATACAGATTAATATTCTATAGTTCAAAATGTTTTCATCAATGCTTATATTTTAAAATCAGTTTATTCTTTGTGTCTTTAGCGTTGAGGATTCCCTTGGCAATCTCAACTATTTTTACGGCAGCATTCCATTCCCATTCCCCGAAAAACATACGGTTTTCCTGTGGAATGTGACATCTTCATTTTGTAGAGCTGTAGCCCACTTCAAAGGATGTTGAGTTATGCTCCTTGTTTTCCGCAAAAACTTAATCATTTGTTAGCCGGGATTTTAACAAGTGTTTTGGGGAGTTGATGACCCCGACTTCAGCTTTTGGGTTGCCACCGCAACGTGAGTCAAATTAATGTTGTCAGCTTAGGTCTGGGTTGGATCCCGAAGCCAGTTTAAAACACGGACATGAAGTGCCCATTACTCTTGTTGTTGCTTTGGTGTTTTGTCCCATCTCTTCCTAATATTTTATTTAATTTTTCATTTGGTTATCTGATTAATTGTTTACTTCACTTGCTTAAAGAGCCGAATAAATTACATTTCTGGTTTTCTGAACTATTGTTCCGGGTAACGAAGTTTAACAATTCGATTCCACAAAACTATATTTTTTGTTTTCCCCTCTTTTTGGACCGCATTCAACTCTGAGATTCGGTCAACCAGTTGAGCGTAAAAAACCGTCAGTCCAAATTGAGGACCACCCGGTGCAGTGTCTGCTTCTTTTTTAATTACATTATATGCATAATGAAGAGAACCCCAGAGATTGAGGGAGCGGGTAAGAACAGAGAACTGCCACAAAATAATTACAGACAACTGGACATGATGGGGAGATGCAATCAGCGCACAGAAGGAAAAAATAAGCAAAAGAAACCTGAATTTCGAGGTAGTTTCGGAAGCCAATGCGCAAAATACACTCGTAAAATATTTGTTGTATTTTAATAATGTATTTATACTCATTTATATTTTACTAAAACGTGTTTTTACAAAAAGTTCTTTAGATAACGTTTGAATTAAGCGGAAAATCCAGATGAATGAAGTGCCTAAACTTCACCATTATCTTGGCCAGAGATGGAATCACTACAACTATCTTCTTAAATGTTTCTAGACTCATCTTAATATATTTTTAAACGAACTCTTCGTCGTTGGTGGCAAAATGCTGCTATCAACACAATCCAAAATTGGACAAACAAAGGAATCAATGAAATTTATTAAAGCATGTTTCTTTAATGTTTATTTTCTAGCTGCAACACGTAAGCTTTTTTCACACTGATTCAAGTAGATTAAAAATGCTATATCAATAAAATATTTTTTATTGGTGATAAAAATAAAGTTTCTAAAACATATGTATAGTAAGTGAAACGGGAATGGGAAAAGAATCAATTTTTGTGTAAAGACTTAAAAGCTAACATCAAAAGTGTTCAGAAAATATAAAAAATATTTTCATAGAAATGTATTTTTTTTGCCTTTTTCAAGTTTGGGATTTTTGTTCTGCATAAATAAGAAAAGCCCATTTTTTTTTAACATCAGTAAATAAAAAACTGCAAACCGCATTCTTAGAAAAAATTGGGCGAGCTGTGATGACCGGACCGTTGGGCGCCAAAATGAGTGACGTACCCAACCAGTCCGCTCCTCTTCGCGGATTTTTTTGCCTCTTCTTCCCACTTGACAAGCGCAATAATTGTGCGAATTCTTAGCGCTGCTGCTTCTGCTTGTTGTTGGCTATTTTGACAGGGCGACACTTAAATGTGGCAGCCCGCTATGATCATAATCATCCGCATCCACATCGGCCACATTCTCACTCTATTCTCTATCACTCTCCGCCTGCCTGCCACACAGGGCGTATGATTGACGCGCTTAATTAAGGCAGCCAGAAAAAAGAGCAAAACAGAGGCGAACAGCGTAAATTAATTAAATTACAATTAATGCAGTAAGTCAGTTGACTTATTTGCGCTATTGCCGTTGGCTCCGTTGTTTTTCCATTTTTTTTCTTTTTGTTGGGCTTATCAATTTGCACTTTGCCGCTTGGGCATTCAATCTGCCTCACTGTTTTGCTATTTTCGCCATTTTATCGTCATAGTATTTATAGACAAACAACCAAATATATGCAGAGCGTAGAGAGAGAAAAGAGACAGGAAGAGACAAAACTTTCGCCCCAAAACAAAACAAACATTTTGTCTTAAAATGACAATGAAAAGTGTTTTTTTGATCGTCGGGAAATTGGCTGTTTGGCTGAGTGGATGGTATAACAGAGACCTTAATGAAAAGTGAATGAGCGACAATTTATCAAGGCGAAATAATTATTTTAAATGTATTATTCCGCGAATTATTTAAGGTCGAAAGAGAGAATATTTTATTTGGGCTAGCTTTTTGAAAGTTTTCCTGACAACTGATTTATTGAGTTTCTTAACTACCTAATAACTACTTAATAACATAAATATTTTGTTTATTAAACAAATACATTTTAATTGTAAACATTACTTTATAATTTTTTATTCTCATTTGAATATTGGATTTTTGTTTAACAATATAAAAAACTATAGTAAATAAAGAAAAACAAATTGATTCAGTAAATTACATAATGGTGAAATAAGCGTTGGGGCCCTGTTTGATCGCTGCTGTCAATAAAATTCCCATGAATTCATATAACAACCTGTCAGCAGCAACAATTCCCCGAATGTTCTGGTAATGATTTCTCCCTACCTCTGCTTTTAAACTCTTTGGTGATGAATTTACATTCCAATGGAGACATAAACCCACCGGCAAGGTCGTTCCATTTCACATGAATCACAGCTCTCGACGGTTAGTCGACATCGAAACGCATACAGAATCAAAAAAATGTATAGAGAAAACAAATTACTCATTATATTTAATGTTGTTTTGTTATGTCAAGAGTTTTGGATTTTGGTTTTAGCTTTATTCGAGCTTTTATTTCCACCTATGTAGGCGAGAGCTTAGACAAATTGAGTCACGACTCACGTGATGATAATGATGATTTTTATGGAGTGTATGCTGTGCAATTCAAAATCGCATCACTCATACGCACCGTTGGCCAATGAGGCAGGGAAGCAAAGAAAGTGCGAAACAAGCCTCGAGGGCAAAGCTCAAAAAATCAGTTTGATTTTGGTGGCTTTTGGAAGGTCTACGTGATGTTCAGCTTGTCGCCTCAAACTTGGAATTTGGAATTGAATTCGGACTATGCTTAAATTGTAAAAAATGAAAAAAAGCTATGTATGCAATTAAAATTTTTGTCTGCGGTCAGAATATTGAAAAGATAAATAAACCTGTGTTTAAATATCCGATAGGGATTTTTTTTCTAGATTTCAATAAGCTTTTTTCGGCACAGATAAGCAATATACTGGTGTGAAATTGTGAATTAATTTCGTACAAAGTTGAAATTGAAGAAAGAAATTATCTGCAAAAATTAAATATCAATTTAAATTCAAAACATTTAACATTACAAATTACAAATTACAATTACAAATGATTTATTACTTAACTTGAAAGTTATTTTATTAAATGATTTTTGTTAGACTTTTATATGTTCTTTATTTTAAACGTTTTATGGCTGAGTCACCTTTTGACTCACTTCCGCAAATTCAACATTATCCTTGACATCAATCGCGAATTGATATCACCCAAAACAACAAATCCATTTTGTTAATATTTATCGTTTGTTTATTTGTGCCTGCCGAGCGGAGTTTCTATGGAATTTAAAGGGCAACTTGCTCAAATATGCTGATTCATACTGTCAAAACCGAATATGCGGGTAAGGTTTTATGTAAGGTCAACTTTCTTGGGGAATTCCCAAAGGTGTTTGTTAGGC